GAAACAGTTCCTATTGCAATGCAGAGACTAAATGTTTCGTGTGCCTGCTTATGTGTTTGATTACTTTTTTAGGTTCAGTTTTTATCAGTTTTATGGACTGGTTTTCATTGATCCTGTCTATTTTCTGCCAGCGTTTCTGATATTTCTGTTCCCTGGTCAGCCTGACAGTTAAGTTTTCCTGCTCATTTTTTCTTTCAGCTGCTCTGTTACTGTCGCACTGCTGCTGTTCATCTATAATCATCCCAGCTGCACTCACTCACTAATCAACCCTAGCAGATAAAAGCTTTATTAGTCTTCTGTCAGGTCCTCATAGACAACAGGGTTTTTGTCATTTACTGCACTCCTTGCTCTCTCAACCTTGTTTTTGTCACCTGCAGCCCTGGGTTTAGTTTATTCCTGTCTGCCTGTGCCACATCCTCACCCAACAGCCACAAACATTACGCAATGTGTTCTGAAGTATAATTTGTACATGCATAAAGTTGTGGAAATAGGAGGAGTTTGTTTATGAAAGATTAGGAAATTTGACAACTTTTCAAAAAGTGACGTCAGCTGTCACTGGAGCATTCTGTGGGGAAATCTGTATAAATCATAAAACTTAAGCTGTAATTGTGAAAAAAATGTAAAAAAAAAAAATTCCACTTGAGATGTGTAAAGTCCAACTTTCTGTGACCACTTTAAAACTTTGAATGTTGTTTCTACTCTCTCTCTCATGTTTTTTGTGTGACACACTTCTACTGTAAGTCATAGCACACTAGCTCCAATCTCATTCTGGTGTATGATCTGAAACTTTTCTTTACAAAACTGTGCAACACAGAACAAAAAAATTGGAACAGGACGGTAACAAAAGGGCTTCAGTGTACATGTTAACTATAGCGTTATAGAGAGCTCATGTTGAAAATGTTTCCATTTTGATAACACCATGAACATTTACAGAGACGATAAAAGAATCTTTACAAGACAAATGTAACTTATAACTGTGGTCACTTCCAAAGAGCCAAACCTTTTGTCCAAGATTGCCCGATATTTCTCAATAACAGAGTTTTGTTGCCATCACATGAAATCACTTCCACCACTGAGAAATAATCTTTCTTTGAGACTGACAAGTTAAACAACTCTGCTCTGTTTTGACGTGACAAGATCACTTTATTGTGTCGCCTTTTATTTGAATTTTATGTACAGTTAAATGGGAACAAAATGGACTTGAGCGATTCAAAAGTCAGGAGTCCAAATAGTCCTCCACTCTTTCCTGATGTTTCCCGGAGTGTGAAGCTGATCTGGTGTCAGGCATTAGCAATTGGTGGATATAGAAAGACAGTAAATGGTGGAGAAACCTGAGATGGGCAGCTAATCACATAGGCTGCTGTTCTCAGCTATAAAAATCTGTGTGAACGCAGGTGTTTAAGGAGTGAGGGGGAATCTATTTTGAAATCTATCAAGGCTGAGTCAGGTCCACTGGACAGGTTCTTCTTTGTTGAGACAAATAAGAATCTGTCCAGAGGACCTGACGCAACCATGTTAGATGTATCTACCTGGATTACTGAGCATGCATCAGGATATTTTAGTATCTCTTTTTTTTTTATTAAATCCATCTTTAAATATACTTCATTCTGTTTTATAACAGTTAAAACAATAGTCTGTATTTTATAATAGTAAAAGAAGTTAGTGTTGTTTTGTCCTATTTTAATGTGTGTTTATTAGGCTACATTCTGGATAAACTATGCCAGAAGGTGCAAATTTTCACTTTTATCCCCAACGGGGATGAGCAACAAGGAAAACGTGAAAGAAAAGCTAAACTTTCGCAACACTTTCTGGATAGAGAAGACAAATGTTACTCAAGTGTTTGTTAAATTTGTGGCCCTTTTTCTGAGATTTTAGCTTTTTATGCTTTATCTGGTCATAGTTGTGTGGTTCTTTTAACAGTTACTGGCAAGATGTTGAAAAATGTAAGTACTCAAAAGTTAAACTATGTTTGTGTTTTAACAAAATTAAATAATGATACACAGCTGCATTCAGAAATCAATTTCTATTATCATATCCTGTTTTATATATATATATAAAACAGGATATGATAA